ATATTCATTTTTGAAAGACTATCGAAGGAGCATAGAGACGAACTCTAACTTCTTATTGTTGAATTGTGAAAAAAAAGAAAAAAAGGTCTTTTGTAATTTTTATGTGTTTATGATGTATTTTTTTATGTTGTTATTGTTTTGTATTGACAAATTGTAATTTTTGTGGCGAGTATTGTCTTTTGAGTCTGCTGAGCATTTTTTGGTAATTTCGAGATATCTTGCTTTGGTTTTCTAATTTTATACTTGGGCTAATATTTCTATTGTGTGTTTTCTTCTATTGACATAACTGAGTTTTATGATTTTTCATGTTTGATAAGTGAAATGTATTTTTAGTTTAGTTTTTACTGGTTAACATTTTGTGGTTCATCAGGTGAGTATTAAATTGTTGGACAGCGCAAGATACATTTGATAAGCTTAGATTATGGAGTTCAGCTTCAGACACATGGCCTGGCAGGGGACCTAGGAGGTGCTGTTTAAAAAGGGGACTGTTATAAAATTGGGCTAATGTTTTAGTTTTTTAGTATACTAAATAGTTTTTTGGTTCCTCTATTAGAAGGCTTAATCATTTTATTTGTGAGGTCTGTATGTCTCAGACCTCAAAACGGGGACTGTTAAAGAAAAATGATTATTTTTAGACTTTATTACAGTTAATCTTATGGCATGTGTAAACACTCTCACTTGAACATATGTCTGAATTTTGAACAAGGCTGTGTTAATGATTTAAAACTACTAATGGGTAAGTATTCAAAGCACAGGAGGCCTTAAAATGAGTATCTCCTGGGGGGTGAATAACAGTTGAGCCTCAGGGGAGAGGTCTCCTTGGTTTACAGAAGATCAAAGGTCTTCCAGAATAAACATCTGAGATGCTGTGATACTGAATAAAATGTAGAATGTTAAAACACTAACATTTAGTTTTTAAGACATTTTTCTAAGTATTAATATCATGTTTTAATTGAAAGTTGTACTATCTGTGTGAATATCAGAATCAAATTGAAATTGTTTGAATGAAAATGTTTTGTTTACTATTAGAAAATTGCTCAGGATATATGTTTAATGGGGTAATTGAATATGTTAGATTGAATATTATGTTTTATATGTGAGAAACGGGAATTGTATCTCATGTTCTGTTGATTCTATGTGGTTTAAGGCAGGATTCAATCTTTTGGGGTGGAATGGTGCAAAAGAGCAAGATTGAGCTGTGAAGATAACCTTTCCCTGAACCAAAATACTGAATTTAAGTTTGTTCTTGAGATTTATGGCAGGAAAGGGGCCCTCAACATTCCACATCGATTCTGTTAAACTTTATCTCATGACAGCCAGATGACCTTAGAATCTAGTGGGGGGCCCGGCCGTAAATTAGTTTTTCTGAGTGTCCAAAGTAGCTTCCAATTGGTCAAGCTGGACGACCTTATACTAAAGGGAAGGACTTATCTACATTATAAAATTTTGTGCACAGGGGCAAAAATTCAGATAGCTGCCACTTTTTTGCTTTTGCACCAGCTCTCTCCAAAGACGCGTCTTTGCCTCTCTTTTTTTTCTATTTTTCTTTACCTCAGGTAACTGAATGTATGTCTCTGTTGTTCTGCAGTTTCTGGTGTAGGTTTGTGCATTGTCTTATTTCTAAGTTTATGCATTGTCTTATATTGGATTAAACTCTGTAATTCTGTGATGTCAACACGCCTTGCTGATTTTCATATTACCAAACGCAGCTCGCCGGGTGGACCTGGAGAGGGAAGAAAATGAAAAGCCAACCTTTTTCCAAAGTTAACTATGTTAGAATATTTTCTTCCTTTACACATCTTACATAATCAATTCAGTTTAGTTCACCAAAGTTTTTTTTTACATTCATACCAATCGAATACCATCTTTAAACGTTTATGTAAATACTACTTCATAAAATGTTAAACCACCATCCAATTGCAAAGCTAGTCATACAACTGATCACTGTTCATTAAACAAGGAACTACAGCAAGGCATTTAGTGCATTAGCGTTATGATGTGTTCAAAACCCAAATGTGATTCAAGTTGTTTTTGACGCCGTTTTTGGTTGCTGCCGCTTGCTTGACATTTCAACAGAAATTTGCATGGTGGATAAAAAATGCTCCAGTCCTTTCACTTCACTGCCTCAGCACATAGAATGATCTTCTACCCGATCGTTTCAACTAAGCATGGCTTCATTCATTATGAAAAGTTGAAAAGCAGCTTAGACATCGAAGTTCCTGGATCCACCAGCGCCTCCAGAGTGGGAGTGTAGGAAAAAAATCGATTTGGATTTTTGGGTGCAGATATAATTTTGATTTTTCAGCTTAAATATTGCTTCTTTTTTTTTTACTTTTTTCCCTAAAGCAATGGGGGGAAAATGCTACTTTTGAACTGCCGATCCGTTAGATGGAGCCATGAAGCCCTTTTGCTGTTCAGGTGCAGTCACAATATGATGCAATATATTGTGATATTGCAATATTGCTAATATATCGTGTCTTAACCCAAGTATCGTGATGCGTATCGTATTGCAACACCCTTGCCAACACTCACCCCTAATCCAGAGATGCTCCAAATTCAGGTAGAGACCAGGAGGTACAACTGGATCACTGTCGCTTCCTGTGATATTTCCACCCAAAGCTGTTATGCGTCTTTGAGGGAGGATCGCCTGAACAACAGTTATAAGTGTACGACCTTACTGGAGCTCAGACAGGAGCAGCCAGAGAGTAAAATGAGAGGCAATGCACAAAGAGAACCCAAGAGGCGGCCGGCAGTACCCTGGAGCTAAGGGAAGACAGCATGACAGCACACCGAACCATCGCACAGAAAGACCAACTGAGGCTATGGTGGGACCAGTTCTAAGTGGGTGTCTCTACACTCTCACTTTACTGTAATCATCCACAGTCATTTGCATCACTGTGCTCCGAAACAGGCCTCTACACAGTGATAACACGTAAATTAATTGCTCCAGTTGCAATGTAAAACCAAAGTGTCTGATACAAAATCAAATACTAGAAATGCAAATATTTTACAGATGTTTAGTTGATTAATTTAATAACTAACAGCTTCTTTGTAAAGGTTGAGTTATAGTTGGGCTATGGGGTGTCACATGGCACTGCGCTAGCCAGCACACAAGCCTGAACAAGTGTTATAGATGTTCATACTGATACTGATAGCAGTGGAAATTTAAAAACAGAAAGAAGAAAAGGTAACCATAAGCATGCTTACATGATCAAAAACATTGCTTCTCTTCAACCTGGTTTCATACTAAAAGGACAAATAAAAAAAGCTACCAAAACATTAAACATTAATATGTATAATCTAATTATCGTATTAGCTATATAAATTGCATGTATATTTCTCCCCTATTTTCTTGATGAAGTGATTCTTTTGTGTGTGAAATATTTGCACCCCATTGATTCCCTAAATGAAGTGAGGCAAGTTACTTTTCCAAAATTTTACTGGATGAATCAATTGTCTCAGAAATTATTTGGATAAATGCTAATATTGTCATTCATTTTAAATCCAAAGTGTTCCCACCCTGCAGCTCTCGCGTTTGGCTTTGGGACCAAATCTTTTCCTGCTTTTCTAAATCTTAACTGGTTTGCTACTCCTCAGTCACATGGCTCATGCTACACTCACTGCTGAAGAAAACAAAAGGGGAGCGGTGGGTGTGACCTTTATCATTCTGACTCTTTAATAGAAAGGGAGGAGACATAAGGAAAACAAACAAGCATGCAACAGAAACTTCTGACCTCATCGGATTAATTGATTTATTAATTGTGACAGGCCTAGGTGCATGACTATGCTTTGCGAGACTTGCTTTAATATTGGTGTGCAAACCTATGCATTCTGTTCAAAGCATAAAAGTATATTAAATAACCTACCTTTGCAAACAAGACAACAGCATTAAAAGATTCTGGCATTCTTTAGACTGAGTATTGGGATAGAAGAACACCTTCAATTTGGCCCCTTTAAGACGACATGTGAGCATCATGAGCTACTTTTAACCTTTCAATTCAACCTATCTACTAATTCCAGTAGATATTCAGATTAATTAAAATTATTCTTAGCAATAAGGGCACGAAAACCACCAATCAACTCAACTGATATTGAGTATGGTCAGTTTGTGTATAAAACTTAAAAATGACAGTGGATTATTGTTATGAAGGATATTGTTATAATTTATTAGTTAAGTCATTTCAGAGCAAAGAAAATAATTTTTTGTATTATAATAGAAAAAAATCTTTAACCAGCCTAGGTCCTGTTTGATTTGCAGGAAAGAGAAGTGGGGAAATGCAGCTTCTCTTCTCTAGGAGGAAGCAGGGAGGAGAAAGAAATCATAGACTTCCTAGAGACACCATATACTGACAATATAAAGATAAGTATCTAAGGTGTGTTACATAAGCAGGAAATATTTAGTGGCACTGTAGATGCATTAATCATTAACTCAGGGACCTGGGTTCCAGACAAATACAAAAGACTTACTGGTGAGAGAGAGTGGAGGCTTTAAGTGGGTTTTTTAATTTCTTGTGTTTATTGTTAAACAAAACACGTGCTCTGAGAAGTGGGAATCACAGCCCTGCTCTGCACCAGGAACTTCTGGGAAAACTCCGCAGGACTTTGGCATGAACTCAAAAAAAAAAAAAAAACAATAATAACCCTTTTATGGAGGTTTTTGAATGCTTTGTTACTGATTTTGTAGTTCTTTTTTAACCAAGGCTCTGCTTTAAATGCAACATATATTATCCCTGAGTTTCTAATAAAGTTTAAAAAAAAATTGACCAAATTGATTACAAATGGTTTAGTTGTTGACAGATAAGAATAGCCTATATATTCTTATGTTTGGTAATTACAGTGTTATAACAAGTAGCCTAATACTTTGAAATCTGTGAGCTTTGTATAATATTTACACCAGAAAGGGAAAAAAACACGCAGTCTGAACAACAAACAGGTAAACACAAGAGTTGGCCTTTCAGCACAGCTCTGGGAAAAGTTACCAAGCTTCCCAAAACACTCACCTGCGACACCAAGGGAATAAGCGTCTGCTCCACGGAGCGAGTTTTGATCTCCAGGCCGGAATCAAAGTTACTGCTGCCGCACGGAGATGAAGCCATTCCCGCCGAGCTTTTCTTCTTTCTCTCCCCCTTCTCTCTCTCTCCCCCTCTGGCTCGCTAAAACTCAATCACGACGCACGGAAAGGACACTAAATGAGTTCCCTCTTTCTTTTTCTCTCTGCTGTTTAAAGCAGCTGCAAACTGCCTGCCGGAGAACTCGAGATATAAACACCGAGGTTATTTTTTGTTCACACTGTCGGTAATTGAGCGGTTCTCCTGACGCGCACGCTGTTTTTAATCCCCCTCCGGTGGTTGCGCCGCTGCGCCCGCTAATGTCCGTGTAGTTTAGTGCGTTACGGCAGGGAGCGGACTGCAGCACACCACTGTGGGCAGCCACATTCACACAGAGGCGCGCATTGATTTATACCCTCTAACTTCAGATTATTCACATTAATCATGCTTTTTTTCTCTTCAGACGTGCTTACATAACCAAGAAACAAACAGCATATCATTTATTTTAAGTTCAGTATTAAATATCTAAATATTTTCCAAGTGTTAAATTCATGAATACCAAAAAAATAATCACCTATCCTAAAACTTAAGGCAAGGCAAGGTAAGGTAAATTTATTTGTATAGCACAATTCAGTACAAAGACAATGCAAAGTGCTTTACATGATTAAAATATTGGAAAATGAAACAGAATCAAAGCAAGTAGGAAAAGCTACTTCCAATTACAGTTTTCTAATTAATTAGATTAGTTTTAGGCTAAAAGTGGAATTTGAATGTTAGACATAAGCGGTAGGCGTGGATAATTTAGATATACAGGTGCTGGTCATAAAATTAGAATATCATGAAAAAGTAGATTGATTTCAGTAATTCCATTTAAAAAGTGAAACTTGTATATTATATTCATACATTACATACAAACTCATATATTTCAGATGTTTATTTTGTTTAATTTTGATGATTACAAATGACAACAAATGAAAATCTCAAATTCATCATATCAGAAAATTAGAATATTACTGAAGACCAATAAAAACAAAGGATTTATAGAAATGTTGGCCAACTGAAAAGTATGAACATGAAAAGTATGAGCATGTACAGCACTCAGTATTTAGTTGGGCCTCCTTTGGCCTGTATTACTGCAGCAATGCGGCGTGGCATGGAGTTGATCAGTCTGTGGCACTGCTCAGGTGTTATGATAGCCCAGGTTGCTCTAATAGTGGCTTTTAGCTCTTCTGAATTGTTGGGTCTGGTGTATTGCATCTTCTTCTTCACAATACCCCATAGATTTTCTATGGGGTTAAGGTCAGGAGAGTTTGCTGGCCAATTAAGAACAGGGATACCATGGTCCTTCAACCAGGTACTGGTAGCTTTGGCACTGTGTGCAGGTGCCAAGTCCTGTTGGAAAATGAAATCTGCATCTCCAAAAAGTTGGTCAGCTGCAGGAAGCATGAAGTGCTCTAAAACTTCCTGGTATGTGGCTGCGTTGACCCTGGACCTCAGAAAACACAATGGACCAACACCAGCAGATGACATGGCACCCCAAACCATCACTGACTGTGGAAACTTTACACTGGACTTCAAGCAACGTGGATGAAGTGCCTCTCTTCTTTTCCTCCAGACTCTGGGACCTTGATTTCCAAAGGAAATGCAAAATTTACTTTCATCAGAGAACATGACTTTGGACCACTCACCAGCAGTCCAGTCCTGTTTCTCTTTAGCCCAGGCAAGACGCTTCTGACGCTGTCTGTGGTTCAAGAGTGGCTTGACACAAGGAATGCGACAGCAGAAACCCATGTCTTTCATACGTCTGTGTGTGGTGGTTCTTGAAGCACTCACTCCAGCTGCAGTCCACTCTTTGTGAATCTCCCCCACATTTTTGAATGGGTTTTGTTTCACAATCCTCTCCAGGGTGCGGTTATCTCTCTTGCTTGTACACTTTTTTCGACCACATCTTTTCCTTCCCTTCGCCTCTCTATTAATGTGCTTGGACACTGAGCTCTGTGAACAGCCAGCCTCTTTAGCGATGACCTTTTGTGTCTTGCCCTCCTTGTGCAAGGTGTCGATGGTCGTCTTTTGGACAACTGTCAAGTCAGCAGTCTTCCCCATGATTGTGTAGCCTATAGAACTAGACTGAAAGACCATTTAAAGGCTTTTGCAGGTGGTTTGAGTTAATTAGCTGATTAGAGTGTGGCACCAGGGGCCATCAATTTTGAACCTTTTCACAATATTCTAATTTTCTGATATGATGAATTTGAGATTTTCATTTGTTGTCATTTGTAATCATCAAAATTAAACAAAATAAACATCTGAAATATATGAGTTTGTATGTAATGTATGAATATAATATACAAGTTTCACTTTTTAAATGGAATTACTGAAATCAATCTACTTTTTCATGATATTCTAATTTTATGACCAGCACCTGTATGTGCATGTTTCAAATATTTATTTTTAGCATTTTTGTGGACCTCTCCCTAAGCTCTGTTTTGATGCAAAAAATCACTACTGTCTGCAAAGGGTAAAAAAAATAAATACATAATTTCTCCCTATCAGCTGCAACAATTAAATACTGCTGTGAGAAACCCCTCCTACACTGTAAAATTCAATTGGTCATTATTACTTTAAAAAGGATGCAAACTGGTTGCACAAAAAAAAAAACAAGTATAGAGAACTATGTGTTTTAAGTTGTACTAACTACTGCATCCTTTGTAGAGTGAACTTGCATATATGTTTAAGAAACTAAAACAATCATGTAATGTGAACTTGATAACTTTCTTTAGATTCACTTTTGACTTAGTAAAAAATACTCACGATTATAAATTGAATTTACTAATTTACTGCAAGTGAAATTTCTCAGTTTAGTCCATATAACTTTCTTATAACAGTTGAGCTCATTCAGTATGTCCAAGTTGAAAGCAGGAGTGTGACTTAAATGCTTCATCCCAATGTAGAAAAACATTTCCTGCTTGACTTCGAAGTGAAGAAGCTGGGATTTCCTGATGGTTATTGCTGCATTTTCAAGAGTGCAACACAATGAAAAAGCAGCTTTCCAAGACAAGTTTGTTGGTAGATGAGTCTGAAGTATTTGTCCTTTTGCTAAAATCCTCCCCCAGCACACAAATCTGAACTAGCTCCCTAAGAAACATGCTTACATGTGCGATAGGGATTGATTGTTGAGGATGTGAACAGAGAAACTGCCCCACGCATGTTATCTTGCGGGATTATTTTGTGTCTCTATAGTGACTTTTTTCATGTATTTAAATTACAGTGACTAAATGGGAAATCATTAAGACATTCAGCATTTCTAATCAATTTATGCCTAAATTCCTTACATTCAAATGGATATTGCCTTTAATTTGTTCTGATTCCTTGATGTTTTTTTGCTGATTTGGCCAAAATCTTATCCAGATAATCATTCATGGGGCTAAACATAAAATACAAATAGTTTTAGCATCACAAATGGCTTCTAAATTCTAACACATTCTAACAAATTCTAAAACAAATGCACCACTTTGGACACTTTCTAAGTTAAAAGGCTGTACAAATCCTATTTATTCACATATTAGTTTTAGATGTGACCACATAGCAAAAGAGAAACAACCAACGCACTTAGATGCCATTCCTTCCCAGATAGAGCTCTGATTTCAGTGAAAAATCTTTTGTTTTATGAAGTTTTTTTACTTGAGATACAGTACATTCACCACCAGAACAGTGTGGAAGTTAGAGACATGACACTTGACTTGTTTTAATCTCTGGAGTTTTAATGAGAATTCTGTTGTTTCAGTATTTGATGCGTTTGCTTACATCTTCTGCTTGATGCATCAGCAGTTTTCTGCTTGTATATATCAAAGAGTCAAAGGTTTGACTGTAGTTTGATGTGAATAACTCTGCTTATTACTTAGATCTCTTAAAAATATTTTGTACCTCACCTGTCATTCCTTAATATCCATCCATCCATCCACTATCCCCCCATTGTCTTCTGCTATTATGGTTGCGTGGTTAAGGTAACAATGCCAGGAGCAAAATCTCTTTTCCAATGAAACAATCTGCAGAAGGTATTTATAATAAATAGTCCTTTCAATGGGTTCTGGATTTACTGTGGTGTCTTCAATGAGGAAGTTTCTTATTCGAGATTCCAAACTAAGACTAAAGGGTAAATAAAGAACTTTGCTTTTTGCCTTAGCTGTTCTTCGTTTCAACAGACAACAGCAGCACCCACATTGCTGCATACAGGGCTGTGCTGTTAATACATCTTCCTTTTCTTCCTAGTATCACTTATCAGTAAGATAGGATGATACCTGAACTATTCCACTTAGGCCACTGATCAAAGATTTGATGGCAGAATAATTGGAAAAGTTATGCATTATCAAGAGACCTCCCCACCACCCCCACCCCACCCCCCAATAATTTCATTATCTATCTTTGTGGCCATATGACTCCATTACAGTTGTGTTTAGGCTGAAGACATACACAACAAAGCTTTTGATTCCAACTGATTTACCTCTTATCTTCTTTTGTGTCACCATTGACATGTATTCATGGCATGAATTAGTTTAACCTTTTTCCAACTTTACAAGCAAAGTCACTGGGTGACAGCTTGTGAGTAATATTCCAATGTGCAAACACAGCAGATGGCAAAGAGCACATATGGTTTGAAAGCACTACGAGACTGCGCCTGGTGGTATCCTTTGCTGTCCAGCTTATAGAGGGGGGCTTATGTGTCAGTAGTGAGAAGCAGGCATCACGTCATTCTCGGACCAAACCAGTATTTATGTAAAACCACACACTTAAGCTGTAGTTTAACCATGTTTACAGTGGTTTCACTCCAGTAATACAAAGATGTTTGCACACATACAGTGCATTATCATAAAGGTATGTAAGCAATTCAGTGAACAAGGGTGTGCTTAGTTGTGATGAATGACTACTACGACTACTTCGAGATGATATCTGGGTGTTTTTTTATTATCTACGCTCAGACTCTGTACCAAATGATAAGCTGATAACAAACCTAACTTTAGCTACTTCCACTGCGCTGTATTAACTTGTGCTGGCATGAGTGGCTCTGGTCAGAGTAGATAAGTAGAAGTGGTAGACTGATAAGAAATGTGATGATTCTTGAACACTGCTGCAGAAAATAGTTTACTTAAGTACCTGGCAAGCTTCTTCTGCAGCCTCAGACATGCAGTGTTTTCATTGGAGGAAACAGACTTGTTTTTCTTATGAGTGTCTAATTCACTCTGCAGTTTACAACATTTGCTCTTCAGTCTGTAATCTGCTGTAGGCACTCAGCATTTCGAATGTTTACCGCAAACTCCACAGAAGCGCGCCAGTCCCTTCTCTGTATTCTCATCCACACAGTC